GATGCTGATGATGATAATGATGAGATTAGGATGAGGTTATCAGCGTTACTATGTAAGTCTATTCAGTATCAAAATTTATACTTCAATAGTCATTCGTCATCTTCACCATACAATAATAATGATGATAATAAAAAAATAATAATAATAATACGCCTACGCTAACTACCCCTGGCGATCTCAACGTAAATCAATTGGGATTATACGTATATGGTAGGCCTATAAAGAAAAACGAAGCGCAATTAAGACGAAATTTAGACAACAGAAACAGCCGCGTCTTTTCAATTTTGTTAATCATCTAGCATTTGCGTTTGAAGCGTGCCATGGTGAACCAGTGTTAATGAAGCTACGCACTTATAATTTGACCTGCCGCAAAGCAATATAATGATGACTTTTGAGATTTCAAAATAAGAGAATTTGAAAATTTCAAAAGGTTGTGATTGAGCTATAAATCATGCTGTGAAAAAAGTAGGACATAACTTAAGCCGGGCACTTACTACGCCCGAAGGTCGGTGGACCGACGCGATTCTATGAAGAACGACACGCGCAACGACGATCCGTTCAGTCTGCCAGACAATCAGCAGACGGCATCGCATCGTCTAGCGCCTGTCTCTTATACACATCTAGATGTGTATAAGAGACAGGATCACATTAAAACAATTTAACAGATGGAAATAATTGCAGAGTTATTCTGGAAACACAATGTTATTAATTGAATAAAGGGTGAAAGAAGTGAGACATAGAAATGATGAACTTACAAATCATTTGTCTCATCGAAAACTTGCGGTGTTGGTGGCCGCTTGGGTGACTGCCAGAAAGGTGCTGAAAAACACATTAACTTGTTATTCTACACACTACAGCACAGAATTGAATCACATGGAACAAACATTAACACACTGGATTATGGAATTAGATGTTTAATTATTCACAGTTTCGTCAGTTTCATGTCACACTTCAAAAACTGTCATAACTCCTTTGATCTATGCTGCCCGATGGCGTAACCACTGGGGGACAAGGAGAAAATATCTATCTTTGAAAAATCTTTCCCACCCATTTATAAATTCTCTTTTCATCCCCTGAAAATGCCTAAAAACCTCAAATTTCGCGCGTTTCGCGCGCACTTCTTGTTGATATGGGCCAATTTCCTCTAAAAATTGCACGTTTTAGGGAGTTTTGATCAATTTCAACGAAATTAGAATTAAAAACACCAGGGGACAAGGGGAAAATATCCATCTTTGACAAATCTTTACACCCCTTGACAAATGCATCCTCTAAAAGTGCCTAAAATTCTCAAAATCTTTGCGCGCATTTCTTGTTACGGTAGGCCAATTTCCTCTATAAATTGCACATTTTAGGGAGTTTTCATCAATTCCGACGAAATTAGAATTTAAAACACAAAAATATTTAGCGCGCCTCGGGCGCATTTTTTAGGGCTTTTTAAGGTTTATCCTTTTAAGTTATTTAAACACATAATAGTCCCAAACTCAAGAAAGACAAATTTAAGATAGATCGTTTTAATCTAAAAGAAGGGCCTCAATGCATTGAAAGAATATGTTTGTAATAAATAAAACCATGATGAAAATGCTTATATTTAGTTTCAAACACACGTGTGTGGCCTATATTATAAATCATATAAGCCCTATGTCTTATTGTTTTCTATATGGGGAGTGGGGTGGGGTGGGTATGGTAAATTACTAACCGGGAAAATAAATACCCACTCCGACCCAAGACCCCTGTTACGCGCCTGGTGT